AATGTAATCTCTGTTCTTAATCTGTTGAGGATTCCATATTCCAGGCCAGAAAAAATCATAGGAATGAGATTTATTTTTACTTAGTTTTACCCCTATATAAGTATCACCATCTTCAATAGAGCAGGGCTGATGAGTTCATAATCATGTTTACTTTGTACAGATGCCTGAAACTGGAAACATAAAAAAAGGAAAAGCAAATTTGTTTTACACAATAGAAAGCAATTGTGCTTAAAGAAACAAAGAATTTCTGAACACTGTTTATGATCAAAGAAGAAGCAAGATTTATGGGTTTAAATTATTTTTTTAGTGTCACTGTTTTTATTTACAATTATAATTGCAATCTATCCAATCCTAATGCTTTAAAAACATTTGCATTTATTCATTTTGTGTTGCTTCTATGTTCCTCCAGGATATATGCAGGGTTAATCTGAAAGCTTGTCTGACATGGTGTTAGGGTTAGACATGGCTTTGAACAAATCGACATTGAGTTATACAGTTTAACAGGTGATTAGGACCAGTCATTGGCAGGGTTTGTATATGGCACCATTTATTTTTGACTTGGTGCTTTGTGAATTCAGCCAATAACTCTTAGCCTTATCCTCTTGCCACCCCAGTAGCTGTAGTAGATTGCACCAGAAGGCAGAGATCAAGCTATTCTCCAAAGCACCTGAGGGCAGGACAAGAAGCAATGGGTGAAAACTAATCAAGGAGAGAAGCAATCTAGAAATAAAGAGAAATTTCCTGGCAGTTAGAACAATTAATCAGTGAAAAGACTTGCCTCCAGAAGCTGTAAATGCTCCAACACTAGAAGTTTTTAAGAAGAGATTGGATAACCATTTGTCTGAAATAGTATAGGATTTTCTGCCTGAGCCATGGATTAGACAAGAAGACCTCCAAGATCCCTTCCAACTCTGCTATTCTGTTATGGTCATGAAGAAAATTTAGAATCAAAAATGGAAAAGAAATCTAGACATTTGCACCCTAATTCACAACATTTCTGAGGGAGATTATTACTATTAAACATACACATTGAACTAGCCAGCCACATATTAACCTGGTGTTTTGAATGAACCCAGCTCTATTTTTAGTTCACTACTTTCTATGTTGTGCAAATCCCCAAAATTAGTTTGAGTAAAACAAGTTGCTTTCCAAAACAATTAAAAACAGCAATTGAAGCTTAATAAGATGACTTCTTTCAACAGATTGAACTTTCCAATTCTTACTAAATAATTTTTCAGGCCCAGAAGATATTTTAGTGAAATCAAGGGGCACTTTTAGAGCCCTATATAAAATTATCAGGAAGACAAATTACCCTTTTTCTTTGCCACATCATAATTTTGAATTTATATATCATGCTAAACTATGGTATGATTCCCTGTGCACTGCTCTGTGCACCTGCAAGCCTTCTACATGTCATTTATAAAATAATAAATATTTTGAAATCTATTTCTCCAGAAAAATAGAAATTTAAAGAAATTATCCTAGTTTAACTATTTACTACACATAATGTTTTTTCTTTTCTTATCAGATTCTTCTGCCCACCCCCATGTGTGTATCTCAGTGGACCAGGCTGGAAACAAAAGAAGGAAGAAATTAAAGGTATAATCCATTTTAGTTCACTCCTCCTTTCCCAAGAATTAGAATTATAGAAGTTTGGAAACTGTTTGTGGACACCTTCTGTATTAGGATTAAAAAAAAATGGCCTACTGTAACTGGACTGCAAAATCCAGGTACCCACCACAAAAATTACTGGGTGCACCTAGATGAGAATGATGATCCTGAATGCCAAGTCTATTATTCTAATATCCTAATAGAATTGAATATACGTATATTACTGTTCCAATAGAAAAAATATATATAGTATTGGAATCTTCTCCCTATCTAAGACTAGCAGATTGCATCCATGAACATCAACTAGCAATAATACTCATGTCTCACAATGAGTATTAATTGTGAACAAACTCAGCCATAGTTTCATCTATGGTAGAAACCCGTGAGCATTCTTTTTTCCCCTCCCATCCACCATTAATAGGCACATAGAGATAAACCATATTTACATACCATTCAAAAGAGATAACAAAAAACTAAGAAGGAAATAAAACAACAGATTAATATATCTAATGGGCTTCCCCCCTGCATTTTGTATTTTCATACATGATACTTTTATTTCTTGTTTTTGTAAAAGAGGATAGATAGGAACCGAGTTGTCGCAAAATGGAGCAGTGGTAGATCTTCAGCCTTCAGCAGCCAGTTGATGCTCACTTCCACAAAAGACTGAGCATGCACCTGCTACTTGATTTGGTGTATCTCTGTCTTCAAATGCAACTCTAACCAGCTTGGTAAAAACCCCACTACAAAATAGCAAACAATGCAAAACTTGAAAAGTTCTTAGAGCTGCAATAAGTCACAGATTTGAAGTATTCAACATTTATCACCATCATTGTTGCTGGCACTGGGTTCTCCGAACAACCTTAGCCAAAGAGCTCCAAGGAAAAGCAAGAGGAGATGAGTTTCCCTTTAGGAAAAAGGTTGCTTTGGCTTCTGTTTCCACATTCACTTGTCATCTGTTAATTGCGCTGGGAATGAAGTATTCCTTTTTCAGCTTAACTGGTAGCCTGAAAGAAAAAAAATGACACAAAGCTTGCAGCAATTGGGTTATAGCTTGGCCTGCCATTACAGGAATTGTATCCAGACCACAGAGAATTTAGACTCATGATCTGCTGGCACAACAAGAGGGCAGAAGGAGGTTATTTCCCAGGCATATGCCAAACTCAGCTTTGGAAAAATGACCTGATTGCATTGCCAGACCACGCTGAGGAATAGGAGATTCCACACCCTCCTTTGAATTGGGCAGAGGTGATGTAATAGCTTAACTAGAAAAACAAATAAATTACTTTTAGAATTTCCTGAGCATATCAACAAGCATGTGGGAGGGAGGGAGCGAATAAGCACTACATGCTTATATACAGACTGCCCCATTCAGAGCCAGTTTGCTATGGAATGGGGTTTTGTGCCCTGTTAGTTAGACATCCAGTTGTACATTTAAGTTTAGCTCATGTGGAAAATAGGAGAATGTACTAGGTGGAGAATTTCAAAAACTTTACCAGCAATGCTATTTCTTGTCTTCTTTCATCAACAGAAGCTAATTGAAACTCAAGAAAAAGCATGCATGACGCTTTCCCTTTTCACTTGATTCCTTTATAAGGCAAAGGATCTTGCAAATCTACTTGATGGGGGAAGATATATCAGTTTGACTTGCATAAACATGCAAAGCTCATGCTGTTAACATGCATGATTAATTCCCAGGGATGGGCTAAAATTACATGATAAACAGCTAGTGATGGAATAGTACTTCTTTTGATTCACAGTTAAATAGAAACTGACTTAATATGAAGTTTCAAAATGAATTCACAGAATACAGTTTTCCATAGTATTTTGAATTTTGTAATGCATTTCTCTAATAAAGCAAAAAACAAGGAATAAAAATATAATGCGTAAAAATATAAAATAGGGAAATATTTTGTCTAGCTTTGTTTTCTTGGTGGAAATCACTTTTGGACTTTTTGCTAGAAAGCAAAATAAATGTTATTTAATTTTGGGATTTGACAATTAGAATTGTTTTCATTTTTTGAAATGCTGTGCAATATTAATTTTATATCAAAAGATTAACCTATTTTATATTTGTTTCAAAGAAAGTTGGAAACTATTCTTCTTACATTTCTTTTCTTCTTTCCTTGTTCCTTTGCATTGTCCCTTTCACTATTTTTCCTTCTTAATCCTTTTTCTTCTTTTTTATATTTTATATTATATATATATATATATATATATA